AACTCTGCCCTGTATGAGCAGAATGGACTTTAAGTAGGCTAGCCTGGGACCCAATGGCCACTTCCAGCCTTGTTTCTCCAGACCAGAGCCTCGCTCCTTCAAAAGAGACTCCCTGGGAAGCTCTCACTGCAGGAACGGCAGGTGGGGCCTGAGCTCCAGCGCCCAGATGCTCGTTTCCAGCATGCCCATCGCTCACCTGCTCCTGGAAATGCTCCCGTTGGCTCCTCTGGAGCCATTACCGTTCGTCATGTTTATCTGCATTTAGGTGCAGTGGGGATTCACACACTTCGATCTGTCTTTGCTCATGAAGCAATGGCCCAAAAAATGGTAATGACGCCTCTGACGCTACGGCATTCCTGCATTCTTTACACACAGGCTTGCCAGATTTAGTGAATAAAAATACAGGATGCCCAGTTAAGTCCAAATTACAGATAAATAATGAGTCATTTTTTAGGATAAGCGTGCCCCATGCTTATTTGGAGCATATTTGTACAAAAAAAAAAAAAAAGACTCATTTTTATATCTGAAATTCAAGTTTAACAGTATCCTGTGTTTTATCTGACAACTATACTCACCCATACTCCCGGCGCACCTACATCGCTCCCGGCTGGAGAGTTTTCATAATCGGGCAAGAACTGGGGGTTCTCCTCTGCCACATTCAAAGCTGTCTTTTTTGGACATCTGCACCCCCCATGCCCTTCCACAACAAGACTCCTTGCTTTTCCCTAAATACACACTTTTCTACCTCTGGGCCTTTTCCTGCACCATTTCCTCTGCCTGAACTACCCATTTCTCTGTCTCTGTTTATTTTCTACCCCGCTGCTCCTTCAAAGCCAAGTTCTGGGCATCTTCTTCAGAATATGTACGATCCCTTTCCCCTGCCCCCCCTTCCATAGCCCCGTGTCTCCCGCTCCCTTAGAACCATGAACACTTTCACTGGAGCAGCCGCTCTGTGCCGAGAGCTGTGCCAGACACAACCTCAAGACTGTGTGCGGCAGTGTGTGCCTGTGCATGTGTGTGCGTGTGTGTGTGCATGTGTGTCTGTGGAGATGTGCACAGGAGCTTGTGTTGAGATGAGGTGGGAATATCCTCCCATGGCTATGTTCAAATAAACATCCTTATGTATTCTGAGGAAACAGAGATGTGCACAAAGATTATGCCCAAGGAAACTTGTCCCAGCATTTTTTTTCTGAGACTAAAAAAGGTGAAAAACAACTTGAATGTCCAACAAAAGGGAAATGGCTTGATTCGGAGACTTGTACACAATGAAATGCAGTGCAGTCACTAAAATGATATTACAAAAGAACATATAATGACCCTGGTAAATATTCATGATGTATAAAAGAAGTTAATAAAAGAGTATATGCAATACTACTCTATTTTTAACATCCCTGTGACAAGACATGAATTTGAGACATTAATCAGTTTGTTCTCACTGTCTCCCTCATACTCCTTTAGTTCCATGGCCCCCACCCCACATGACAGCGTTCATGCCCCACTCCACTCTCATCATTACCCCAGAGGGCAGTTGTCTGAATAGGACCAAAGAATAAAAGTCCCAAGTTCTTAGGTTTTAAGTTCAGGAGCTACGGCCCAAGTGTAGGATAGACAAGGCAGGATCCACCTGCCCACCCAGATTAGAGACAAGGCACTCAGGCCCCTGACATCCACCCTCTTCAAATGAAATCTCACAGGAGGGGAGAAAATGCTAGAGGCCCCCAGACAAGCGTGGAGACCCCAGAGCAGAGATCCTGTGTGCCTGCACCCAGTGCTGGAGAGAAAGCAGTGGCTAGAGAACAGGGTGGGTGATGTGGTAGACCTAGACATGAGACAGCCAGTGCTGCCCCCAACCCCACAGTTTCCTGCAGCCCCAGACTACAGAGCAAGACATTCAGAAAATTCTCATGGCTCCCAAAGTGGGCACTGAAGTTGGCTGGAATAGAAGGTTGTGAGCCAATCAGAGTTTTGTGGCCAGAATGACCCTCAGAGTTGGCTGCAGCCATACTCAGTGGGTTTTCAGCCCAAAGGGACCTGTCTACACAGGCCAGAAGGGACCAAGGAGATAGAGGATGAGTAACAGTGCCTTCTCACCACTTAGTCTCAACCCACAGGGTGGGTGAGACAGAAAATCCTGATGAGGGAACAATCCTGAGCATGACAAAGCTCTAAAACCTGAAGTCACTGAGAAGTCCCTGAATATTAATGACTTCCATAAGAAATCACTAGATTGTTTTTTGTTTTTGTTTTTGTTTTTGTTTTTGTTTTTTTGCATCAGGCAGAACAGGAGCACAAGCGAGGAAACTGGGGCACTTACAAGAAAAAAAAAGTTACATCTGGGTGTATCCACCTTGAGCTATGAAATGCCTTCCCTTAGAGCACACGTATATACCTGCATCAGACTGGAAGGCCCAGCCTTAGATGGTAACTGTGGTTAACAACACCCAGGGATGAAGGATTCCTAATTGTTCTTCTGTGGCTTCTCTGAATTACCGGGACCCCTCAGCAGCTTCCCTGGAATTCTCCAGGGTATGGCATCAGGGCTATCCAATTCCAGCCCCCAAGACCAACTCCCAGGAGTGACCTTTCCAGAAGCATTTTCTAGGCTTAACTGAGCAGCACGGTCTTTCCCACCACCCGCCCACCTCACAACCTACATCCTGTCATAAGCTATGACAAGTATTAGCAGAAGACAGAGGAATACTCCTACAAACATGGCCTTCATCCCCAATTCAGATGTATGCCCTCCAGGATCTTGGCCAGTGACCATATATGACTTCATCCCATCATAGCCCAAGGCCTCCAGGCAGGGGCACTTCAGAGCCATCAGGATCATTCCCAACCCAGCCTTAAAAGAGAATCAAATGCCAACACTGGAACACTGTGTGGAATTACACATGAGCTGAAGGTGAGGAGTCTCAGCTCAGACATTTTATTCTCCCTCAAAAGAAGGTCACCATCAGCCGCAGCATCTCTTACTTGACATGTCTCCAAAGGCGAGGGAAATAAAAGCAAAAATGAACTATTGGGACCTCATCACGATAAAAAGCTTCTGTACAGCAAAGGAAACAATCAACCAAATTCAAAGGCAACCAACAGAATGGTAGAAGATATTTGCAAATGACATACCAGATAAAGGGTTAGTATCAAAAATCTATAAAGAACTTAGCAAACTCAACCCCCCAAAAGCAAATAATCCAGTGAAGAAATGGGCAGAAGACACGAATAGACAATTTTCCAAAGAAGACATCCAGATGGCTAACAGACACATGAAAAGATACTCAACACAAATCACACTGAGATACCATGCCACACCAGTCAGAGTGGCTGAAATGAACAACTCAGGGAACAACAGATGTTGGAGAGGATGTGGAGAAAGGGGAACTGTCTTGCACTATTGCTGGGAAGGCAAATTGGTGCAGCCACTCTGAAAAAATGGCGTGGAGGCTCCTCAAAAAATTTAAAATAGGATTACCCTATGACCCAGCAACAGCACTACTAGGAAGGACACAGGAGTGCTGATTCAGAGGGGCACATGCACCCCAATGTTTATAGCAGAGCTATCAACAACAGCCAAATTATGAAAAGAGCCCAAATGTCCATCAACTGATGAATGGATAAAGAAGATGTGGTGTGTATACACACACACACACACACACACACACACACACATATATATACACATATACACAATGGAATGCTACTTGGCAATGAAAAAGAATGAAATCTTGCCATTTGCAACAACATGAATGGAACTGGAGAGTATTACGCTAAGTGAAATAAGCCAGTCAGAAAAAGACAGATATCATATGTTTTCACTCATATGCGGGATTTGAGAAACTTAACAGAAGGTCATAGGGAAAGGGAAGGAAAAATAAGTTACAAAAAGAGAGGGAGGCAAACCATAAGAGACTCTTAAATACAGAGAACAAACTGAAGGTTGATGGGAGCAGAGAGAGGGGAAGATAGGAGATGGGCATTGAGGAAGCCACTTGTTGGGATGAGCATTGGGTGTTGTATGTAAGTGATGTATCGTGGGAATCTATTCCTGAAGCCAAGACTACACTGTATACACTATATTTTAGCTAACATGACAATAAATTATTAAAAATACCAATAATAAATAAAAATGAAATGCCAATAATAATAACCAATAAAAAAAAAGAAGGTCACCACATGTCCTGGCATGGAAAGAATGCAAAATAATAACAGGAAAGCTGTCTTATATTGAGAACTTGAACTCTCAGCTTTATGCTCATTAATCTGTGCATTTTATCATTTCATCCTTTTAACAACCCCTGAATAGGTAACTCCTCTTAGCACTAAGCATCCGCATATCCTGGTTTGCTGGAACAATCTTGCTTTATGCCTGTTGTCCTGACCTAGTGTCCCAGTCTGGATGACCTCAACAGTCACCTTAATTATTACCCCCCTTTTATAGCTGAAGGTATGGAGACTCAGAGAAGTTAGGTAACTTTCCCCAGGTCACACAGCTAGAATGTGGAGGGGCTGAACACTGGCCTCAGTCTATCTGACTCGGGAGGTGCAAGTGGTTAGCAAGCAATAGAGAAGGGCATGGTCATGAGATATAGGCAAGGAAAGGACTGTCAGCCAGACAGGAGAGGTAAGGGTGAGATCAGACCCCTTCCATCTTTACTTTCCCAATATTTCAAAATAAATATGCACCCCTTTTACAAATCTCTCCATTAAAAATAAAAACCAATAGTTGGTGATGGGGATGCCCTTGCAGATGAAAGTGCTCATTATAGAGACATTTTGCCTCCCCCAGCCCTGCTCAGGGAGCATCTGACTGGGTGCCTCAGAGCCCTGTGCATCTGGGCAGCCCCTTCTGCACCTGCTGTTGGGGCTGGGGTGGGCAGAGATGCAAAAGAAAAGGCCCTGTGTGAGGGCCCACAGCCCAGCTTCCAGTCCCCTCCACTCTCTCTCTCTCTCTGAGCCCCATCTCCTTATCTGTGAAGCAGTCTTGATAATCCAGGTCTTACCTGCCTCCCAGAGTTCTGTCAAGAAGACATCCAGGAAAAGCCGGGTTAAGGGAGATTTTCTAGAAGCGCAGGCCACATGGCGGTGAGGTGAGCAGCAAGTAGGGCTCATCGGGCTTGAGTTAGCATGTTCTCTTTCTAGTAGGTAAGTTCCCACTCTGTTATTTATTTTTCATCCCCTTCATAGGACCTTCAAGTAAATTTAAACATCGTCCTCACCTGGGAGGAAAAGAAAACAGCACTCAGCTCAGGGTACACTGATCATGTCTCAGGCCAGAAACCGCAGCATCCAATGTGGAAAGGGGGGATGGAGCTGAAAGGAGGCCTCTGACAGGGGACCCCATGGTGCAGAACCAGAGACTGATCTCACTTGCAGACCCCCCATGGAAGCTGGCCCAGCTGAGCCGAGGCATTGCACACACAAGCAGCCAAACCTCCTTGAGGAGACAAGGGCCTTTCTCAAGGGGTGCCTTCCCCTCTTGTAACCGAAGTCAGCCATTCAGCTTCCAGACGGGCCTTTGCTCTGAAATGATGGAAAGACAGGGGGCCTCTGAGCCTCTGCTGGGGAGGACCCTATGCAACTGCTTGTCCCACAATTTCTGTGAATAGCAGACAGGGCTGGGCAATGAATGGAGCACTGGCTTATTCAAAGGCTAAAGGCCTAACTCTGCAACATAAAAGCTACATGGCTTAACTTCTGAGCCTCAGTTTTGTCATCCATGAAATGGGACTGTTAAAACATGCTCTGCCTTCATTCCAGATGGGGAAGACTCTCTAGTCCAGGAACAGGCAGGGTAGCTAAGGCCCATAAGAAGGGGTTGAGTGATTCACCTACTCACTAGCCCAGCTTTATCTTTTCTCCTTTATCCCTTTTCCTTTCTTCATGCTTTTTTTTTTTTTAAGTTTATTTTATTATTTATTTTGAGAAAGAGAGACAGTACAAGCAAGGCAGGAGCAGAGAGAGAGAGAAGGAGAGAAATAGGATCCCAAGCAGATGTGGGGATCAAACTGATACGAAGCTGGACACTTAACTGACTGAGCTACCCAGGCACCCCTCCTTTTTTCATGCTCTTAAAGAGATACTCTGTTACCTTGTCCCCAGAACACTATTCCCATCATATCTAACATTTGATTCAAATTAATTCACCCGGTAGGTCTTAGGAGCCATTTTTTGTCCTCAAAGAGAGATGCCCAATTCCTGCCCTCCCCATTCACAGATCCCATTCCCGGGTCCCACACAGCCATTCACACACCATTCTGCCCTGGATCTCCCTTTCTCATCCGTGGACCACTTAAAGTCAAACTTTGCAAGGCTCCCAGGGCCACTGCAAGGGCGTGGCTCAAAAGAAGCCCAATGCTTTTCCCAGCCCAGCTCCTCATAGGTGCACCCTTCTCCCCCCAAAGAAGCCAGGAGAACAAGGGGACACCTCCAAGGGGACGCCATTTACAGACAACCCTTAACAGCAACAAGAGCAGGGCAATGACCTTCATAGGAATCCCTCGTAGTAACATTTCAGCCCTGGCCTGCGACAGGCTCCACTGACTCTTGGACATAAATTACTTGTTCATTATCAGGCGGCAACATGGGGAAGGATGTCGGCCGCTTGATTGTGTCTGTGTCCTGTGGCAGGCGCCTGTATTCTGGGCTGCCACTGTCCATGGTGCTGTTTTACATGGGCCTGCGCTGCTGCCAGCTTCGTGCTTTGCGGAGGCAGCTCTAGAGTCTGGGCTGGGCGGCAGGGAGGATACACAAGTTCTCTTGACAAGGTGGCCAGAGGTCAACGAGGATGGAAATTCAGCACCAACGTCAAGCCACACAGGGCCTGACTTCAGTTAATTCTGAGAGCTTCCACTTACTGAGCTGTTGTATAACCAGCTTCTGTGTTAAGTATATTTATATAAATATAAATATGAATATAATATCGCTAATGACAGAAAACCAGCTCCAAGCAGCTTAATCCAAAAAGGAATTGTTATAGGCATTCACTCAAGTGGTGCAACTGCAGGACAGAAGGGTTGATGCTGGACGGACAGATTATTTGGGCCAGGGATTCAAGTGCAAACAGGGCTCTCTCTCTCTCCGCACTTCTCTGCTTCTCTTCAGCTTGTTTTTTTCTGATGAGTCCCTGTCCCCAAGGCCAGAGCCATGTCTGCAGGCATCTTAAAGATTACATCTTATATCTTTACAACAGAGAGGAAAGAGGCCTGGTTTCCCCAGCTAGAGTATAAAATCCCAAGGATGGACTGTGATTAGCTCCACTTGGTCATATGCTCAGTCACAGAGGTGCAGCCCTGGGACCTGCAGGGAGCACTTCTTGGGGAAGGGGGATACTTGACTGAGTATAAACACCATAAAGGTTCTTCAAACACCACATATGCTCTCTTGTTATTCCTCACAACCACCCACTGAAATAGGCCCTATTCACTTTTCAGGTGAGGAAACAGACCCAGAAAGATCAAATGATTGCCCGATGTCACCCAGCTAGCAAGGGGCAGAGGCAGGTATCAGACCCAGATCAGCTGAATTCCTAAGCCTGTGTTCTTTGAAACATGAAACATGAACCTGGCAAGTTGAAAGAGACTCGGTCTCAGAAGGACTTGAAGAGTTTTGGCTAGTAGACGGAGACATGGTGGGGAGGGGGTGGGCACGGGGGGAGTGTGACCAGATCCTCTCAGCCTGCAGACCTAGTCTGTGGCATCTGAATTGGGTCTGTTCCATTGGCCCGGAAGGAACAAAGCTCTGCTCTGTTAGGGTAAAGACCAGGCAACAAAAGGAGAAGGAGGTAAGAGCCCAAGTAAGCTTGTGGGCTTGATTCTGTGGGCTCCTCCGAGCTTGATGAAGATCTGGTCCCCGATGAGCAGTACTCTGAGTGGCCTGAGAGAGAAACCAGCCCTGTCCTTATCTGGTCACAGGGGTCAGGGAGGCAAAAATTGCAAGCCACCCCTCCCACCACTTACAAGGAGTCTCAGATTGCCACAGCCACCTGCAGCCAACAAGAAGCTAAAAGAACAGGCCAGAGCCCCTTTGGCACGCTGGCCCCTCGTTCTATCTGTCCCCACCACCCTTCCCTCCCCAGGTCTCCTCTTCTGTTTCCTGGAGATGGCACTTTACCCAATCCCAGGATGGGGCTGGGCAGGACTGACACCCCTGTTTTACTGAGGAGCATATTAAGGCCCAGAGGGGGTGTGACTTTCCCAAAGACACACAGCTAGTGAGCGATTTAAAAATTCTTGTCATCATCATTAAATCTCCTCTTGTCCAGCCAAAATGACAAGCATTTGTTAAAACACATAAAAGTAGTAATTCAATATCTCTGGGGGCATAACTACACCAAGAATCTTCCAAAGCAAGCGAAAAGGACTATGGCATATATCCAGGGTAGGGGGGGGGGAGGTATGTCTGGGGTGCAGAGGGAAGTCCCAAGTAAAGTCACTCCCAAATTACTGAGGAGGATATAGGCCAGCTCCCTTGGGAATATATTCTGAGGGGAAAGTGATGGGATGAACCCACCAATGTCTGTGCCAGGAGGGCCTTCAAACCCCTGGAGGCAGCCCTGTCACTGTGCAGATGGAGACACTGAGGCTTAGGGGAGCAGAATTGCCCAGGAAGCTTTGCCTGCCTGAGTGCAGAGCTTCCTCAGCTCCTTCTAGGGGTATCCCTCTGAGTCCAGAGAAAATGCCCCTTCTCTGAGCCTTCCCTGACTCCCTGCCAGAACAGACAATACCCCCCTCAGAGTTCGCCCATGCCTTACTGGACCACCTTACCAGCTCATGCATGGTCTTCAGTGCCTGATGCTGCACTCCCATTCTGCAGCCTGAGAGCCCCCGGAGGGCAGGACCCGAGTCTTATCTAGTCCTCCCCAGTCCCTACCCCTACCCCCAGGGCAGACAGAAGTTACTTAATAAGAATTGGAGGAACAGAACCACCTCTAAGGTGAAATGCCCACACCAGGGGTCCCCCCAACTCTAGGGAGATGACCCTCTGGTGTGAGGAACTCTCAGATCCTGACTTCCGAGCAGAACAGATGCAGAGGAGCCTATTGGTACCTGGAAGGCATAGGCGTCCAGGAGCACTGCAGCCAGGGCTGTGCTGGCCATCAGTCTGCAAGGTGGGCACCTCCACCCAGCAACCACCAAGGGGTGGTGAGGCCAAGGGACTACCCGGTCCAACCGCATCCTCATTCCCTGAGCAGATCAAGATGTGAGTCCTTCATCTATAAGACCACAGCGAATTCTCTGGGGCCAGGCCCAATGCCCGGCACACAGAAGTGCTCTGGCCAGTTTGCTGAATGAATAAAGAAATGTGCCAGAGGACAACGGTGTCAGTGAGGGAGGAAAACCAGCACTGGCTGAACACCTGTGACAAGCTGGACATTTTTTGAAAGTTACCTCACCGAAGCCGCAGCCACCATACCTAAAAAGAGGTGATTCAACTGAAGCTCAAAGAGGAGCTTCACAGTTAATAACAGATGGGGCTGTCTGGCCCCAGACCCTCCCCTCACTTAAAGTCTACACAGAAAGTGCCATGAAGCAGGATGTGAATCTCACTGTCCACCGTTGTCCCCCAGGACCCAGCAGGCGGCCTGGCTCAAAGATGCCCAGTTGGTCTGGGAGGTTGTGGCTGTAACTATGCTGGGGTCTTCCAGTCAGCAGCTGGAAGGGATTGAAGCAGGCAAATTCCAGGCCCAGGCCCGGGGCCCTGAGGCCTCATGAGGCAGAGCCCCTCCCACCAGCTGCTCCTGCCTCCCCAGGGTTGGTCCTCCTTGCAGGGCAGCCTGCCCTGCATTGCTGGCTGAGGGCTTCCACAGACAGAGTCCCCGGGCCAAGCAAACCCCGAGGTCCCCAAACTTGCCACTTCTGTAAAGTGCTCTGATCTTGTCAAATTGCTACCAGAGGAGTCATAGCTGAGTGAACACTTGCCAGGTTCCCGTGGCTCTCCCGAGAGCTGTCACCGTCCTCATCCATCATAATTGAAGCAGTCCACCTGCTCCGGGCCCATCTTTCAACTGCAATGATGGCTGAGATGCGATAGATGTGTCTTGTCATCACCTTGACTTTTTTTTTTGGAGAACACAAAGGTCAGAAGGGATCCTGGGGTGGGAGAAGCCCTGATCTCAGGGTGGAGGGCTGACCGCCTCTCCCACCAAGTGCCAATCCTCACCATGGCCATCTGCTACAGCCCTCCAGCCCCCTGTCTCTATCAGGTCCAGAGGAGAACTGG